CCAGAGCGCCATAGCCCAGAGCGCCATACCAGCCCACAGAGGCCACAAAACGCATAGCCCAGAGCGCAACTGCCTGTAGCTCATTAACGCACATAGCCCTGAGCCCCATAGCCCAGAGCGCACAGCCCATAATGCAGAGCCCTACATATGGGAATTGGATATATTATTTTTAAACCAGAGTATAGAGTCACTTCTTTAACATCTCACAAAAAAGGAGAGGATTGGCCGGGGCTGTAGGGGTGGGGAGGAGGCCGGATTTTTTTTTTTTAAAGCCACTTCCTGTCCGGACACTTTTACATACCCCTTTCCTGTCCAGGGGGGTCAATTTTCAGCTTTCAATGCGCTATTTAACACTTGAATGACAATTGCGCGGTCATGCAACACTGTACCCATATGCATAGCTGTCCAGATCTTTAACTTTAGATACAGTACTTTTATAAAGGGCCAAAACTCCTTCAGCATCTATATGGAGGGCTGCACCTTAAACCCTGGCCTTCTGTAAGATTCATGGTTACTGGTCTTGGATGCAGGGGGGGGAAGGGAGGGGAGGGGGCATCTGAACATCCTTCCTTCTTTTTTTCCCCTTTTTTTTATTTCCCACTCCTCTAGGGTTAGGTATGTATACAATCTGGAACCTTCTGTTCCTCTTCAATACAGAATTAAAAAAAAAAAAAAAAAAGACAAGAAAAAGAAAAAAGTGGGGAAATGGCTGTATTTGTGCTATAGATAAATGCAGGATCACATGTACCTGCCCTGGGACCCTCACTCCAGCATAGAGCCCATTGAGGGGGGTGAGGGGATTATATTCCTTCCCACCTGATAATGCTGAATTTCCTTGAAAAGTTTAGAAATCTTTATATGTTTTTACTATGTACTATAACGTGTCACATTACACAGAACAGGAAACAGGAAAATACAAAATTTACTAAAACTGAAGAGTGCAAAATCTGGAGCAGCAAGAATGCAGCCAGAGAGGAGAAATTATTACTTTTACAGCCTTTATGGGTGTAAAAGCAATCAGTGTAAAAAAAAAAAAAAAAATTTCATCACCCCCCACAAGTAGTACAGTGTCACCATGGTGACACTGTACTGCTAGGGGTGACAGTATGTTAAAAAAAAAAAAAATTACATAATAATATATATATAAAAAAATAATATATAAAATAAATTTGATAAAAATAATTTTTTTTTTTACTAAAAAGATTAACTGAATAAAATGTTGGCCAAGATTTATGAAGAAAGATTATTTATTTGCAAAATTTTATAAGAAAAACACTTTTTTTTTCAAACTTTTTGGGACATTTTCATTTATAGAGCAAAAAAATAAAAAATCCCAGTGGTGAATAAAAAGTACCACCAAAATAAAAGTTTTATCTGTCTCAAAAAAATGCTAAAAAAATTCATATGGGTACAGTGTTTGCATGACTGCGCAATTGTCATTCAAAGTGTGACAGCGCTGAAAGCTGAAAATTGGCCTGGGACAGGAGGGGGGTAAAAGTGTCTGGACTTGGTTAACCACCTCCCATCTGGCCGTTGTATATAAACGGCTGGACTGTGGCAGTGCAGGGGCAGGTTGGGCCATTTATAAACGGCCTCCCCGCTCCCTGGGAGTGCGCAGCACCTGCGATCTGGTGCCCGTTTCTGTCCTCCGGACACAGTGGTGCAACACCGATCGTTGTACGGGGGAAAACCTCTGTAAGTGCGAGGTCCCTGATCAAAGTGATCCCTGATTGGAACAATCAGTGATCACATTCAGAGTAGTAAGGCAAGATGTCACTTGCCATGATATCATTGCTTACTATCTAGTGAAATCTGTTGAATGGTCCTCACATGGTACAAAAACTATTCACAACAGCCTTTGTACCATGAGACAAGCTGTGACCAATCACAGCTCACACAGTATTTCTCAATGGCTAACTGCAAGAATGCAGCCAGAGAGAAGGAAAAAATGATTTGTTTTGGGTGTATAAAGCAATTAATGTAAAAAAAAAAAAATCTTCATCACCCCCCCACAAGTAGTTACAGTGTCACCATGGTGACACTGTTCTGCTAGGGTGACAGTATGTAAAAAAATAAATAATATTAATAAATAAATAAAAATGTAAAACAATTTTTTAAAAATTATAATTTTTGGTTATAAACTAATTTGGGTTATTTTTTTTTTACTAAAAAGATAACTGAATACATTTTGGCAAAGATTTATGATGAAATACCGTATTTGCCGGCGTATAAGACGACTTTTTGACCCTTGAAAATCTTCTCAAAATCGGGTCGTCTTATACGCCGGTACATCATGTTAGGGTGGGCTGCGGCATTAAGTACAGGGGTTTGCAGGGGCCTGACGTCTCTTACCTGGATCCAGTGACCCACAACGATCCGGTCCAGGAAAGCGCGGCGTCGCTCTTCAGTTCGGCCAACTGGATGTTCGTCGTCGGCTAATCTGCGCTGCTCCGCCTCCTCACCGGTGATTGGCCGCCAGAACTGTAGCTCAGGAAAGGGCACACAGGCGGCCAATCACCGGCGAGGGGGGCGAAGCCGAGCGGCCCCCGCGAAAATTAAGTGCCGGAGCAGCAGGTAAGTGCTCTGTGTAGAGGTGCTGCTGCAACCACATATGCTGGCTGCAGCTAGCACCATACGAGAACAGGGTCAGCAAGTCTCAGTGGGGAGGAATAGTGCCCCATCATTGGTGTCACTGATACCAATGATGGGGGAATGGGGGGCACTATTCCTCCCACTGATACCAACGATGGGGCACTATTCTTCCCCACTGACACCATCGATGGGGCACTATTCCTCCCCCCCACTGACACCAACGTGGGGCACTATTCCCCCCCCCACTGACACCAACGATGGGGCACTATTCCTCCCCCCACTGACACCAATGATGGGGCACTATTCCACCCCTCACTGACACCAATGGCATGGGACACCATTCCTCCACTGATACCAATGATGGGGGTCACTATTCCTGCCACTGATACCAATGATGGGGCACCTATTCCCCCCACTGATACCCAATGATGGGGCACTATTCCTCCCACTGATGCCAATGTGGGGCACCATTCCTGCCACTGATACCAATGATGGGGCACCTATTCCCCCCACTGATACCAATGGGGGCACTATTCCTCCCACTTTATACCAATGATGGGGCACTATTCCTCCCACTGACATCAATGATGGGGCACTATTCTCCCACAGGTGTGCGTTGGTAAAGGGGTAGTCTTATACGGCGAGTAAACGAGCCCAAACACTTTACATTTTAGCAGGAAAAGTAGGGGGGGTCGTCTTATACGCCCATGTCGTCTTATACGCCGGCAAATACGGGTATTTATTTGCAAAATTTTATAAGAAAAACACTTTTTTTTTTTTCAAAATTTTTGGACTTTTTCATTTATATAGCAAAAAAAAATAAAAATCCCCATGGTGAATAAATACCACCAAAATAAATAAAGCTTTATCTGTCTCAAAAAAATGCTAAAAAAATTCATATGGGTACAGTGTTGCATGACCGCGCAATTGTCATTCAAAGTGTGATAGCGCTGAAAGCTGAACATTGGCCTGGACAGGAAGGGGGTGAAAGTGTCCGGACTAGAAGTGGTTAGAACCCCCCAAAAGAAATATCAAAATATTGGATGAAGCGCTCTGCTATAATAGTGCTATTTTATTTAGTCTATTAAACCCCCCCAAAAGTCCAGCCCAGCACCTATGTACACACCAACACAAACACACACCGATCGGGAGCCAATGCATGAAAACGTTGCTTGTGCTACACCTGTTATGTATTGCTGCACATGCCAGAGTGAGAGCAATCATTTTCTGGCTGTTATACATAGTTCATTCTAACCTGATGATCTGTAGGGGCTTTTATTGTGGTCGCCTAGGAAAAAATATAGGGTAGCAAAGATCATCTTTGTAGTACAGGCATGCTGAGTGTTAAAGCTTCTCAAGTTGGGTCTCTCTTTACCTGGCGCAACTTCAAATTTTATAATTTTACCAAAGACTTGGGAAACACACGGTGTTTGTGTGCCCTAAAATGAACTGTAGTCCTCATCAAAACGTCCCGTGTGCATAACATAACAATTAGCTGCTAACCTTTAGCTGTGTAAAGTCGTGTTTATTTTTTTTAGTGTTTTTTGCATTAGCGTTTAGCAACATTTTTTTGGTAAAAAAAAAGTCCAAAAACGCCGGACTGCAGCGTTTTTACTGTGTTTTTTCAACATTACAGCCAAAAAAAACTCCTCTAGAAACACACTAGTCCTGGGTTTTTTTTTCCAGCCAAAAAAAACGCTAATTACAGTCTAGTTTGTGCATGGACACATAGGATACCATGCTGGGGGGTTACTGGCTGTGGAAAAAAATGTCAAAAGCCAAAAACAGCTGCTGTAAAAACATCCAATGTGCATGAGGGCTTAGTGTCATTTTTTTTTACTAAAAATTTGCACTTGAAAAAACTGCGCAAATATTATGTGACATACATTTAGAACCCATCTCTATTTTATTTTTCCAGGGTCTCTGCTTTCAGAAAATATATCATGTTTGGGGGAAATCTGTAAATTTTAGTAATTGCCTTAGATTTAATTTGTAAACATATGTGGGGAAAAAAAACGTAAAACCGGCTCTGGCCCAGTCTAAATTTAGGAGAACATTCCAGTTGTGTCTATATGACAGGATTTCTGGTAGTAATTAAGGTAAAATAAGGTTTTATCCTTTAACCCCCAAACTCGCCTACTGGGCACTTATACCCGCTTCCTGCCCAGGCCAATTTCCAGCTTTCAGCGCTGTCGCACTTTGAATGACAATTGTGCTGTCATGCAACACTACCCATATGAATTTTTTATAATTTGTTTGTGACAGAGCTTTATTTTGCTGGTATTTAATTACCTCCTGGGTTTTTTATTTTTTCTTAAACAAAACCAAAAACCACTGAAAATTTTGAAAAAAAAATGTTTTTTCTTAGTTTTTGTTATACAAATTTGTAAATAAGTGATTTTCTCCTTCACTGATGGGCACTGATAGGCTGCACTGATGGACACTGATAGGTGGCACTGGATGGGCACTGATGAGGAGGCACTGGTAGGTGGCACTGATGGGCATTGACAGGCATCATGATGGGCACTGAAAGGCAGCACTGATACATGGCACTGATAGGCAGCACTGACTGGCACTAATAGGTGGCACTGACTTTCACTGATAGGCGGCACTGATTGGCAACACTGATAGGCATTGATAGGTGGCACTGACTGGCACTGGGTGACTCTGAAAGGCAGCTCAGATGGGCACTGATATGTGGCATTGATGTGCACTGGCATGAGGCACTGATGAGCACTGACAGGTGGCACTGCTGGGGCCACACTGATCATCAGGGCACACTGATCATCAGTGCTCTGATGATCAGTGTACATGTCCCCTCTGAGGAATGCCGATTACCGGCTCTCCTCTCCTCTGTCAGCGTGACAGCTCAAGAGGAGAGAAATGCCGATAACCGGCATTGCCCTGTTTACATGTGATCAGCTGTGATTGGACACAGCTGATCACATTACCGAGCCGACGTACATCTTCAGCTCTTTTCCGTGATCGGTGATCCGCGGTGTCCAAGGGACACAGTGCTCCGCCGATCGCCACAATGCGCGCTCCCTGAGCCGCGCATGCACAGTGAGAATGGGAGGACGTCATATGGCATCCTCCCAGAACAAGAGAACCACCTTGTGCCCGTCATATTACTATATGGCGGGCGGAAGGTGGTTAAACAAATGGGCTAACAGGTGAATTTCTAAGCCTGTGATCAGCCGGCATCAGGTCGGCGGGGGGGGGGGGGGGGGGGGGGGGGGGTAGTTAACAACCAATGGCAGTTAGTGGCTGCCTGTGCTGCTGAGAAGACACAGACTCCTGTTGCTCCAGGATTTCTGTAGTATTTCAGCGACATTTCAGCGTTTTTGCTGTCAGCAACCTACAAGATGGATCAGGATTTCAACTGGGGAACAGTGGACACTCGTCTCCTTCTGGATTTTGCCTCTTCACACTCCACCGGGAAGGACAGAGAGGAGGACATCATGGCAGCTGTGACTCATCTGCAGGGAGGAAAGGCAGAGAAGACGGAGGCCCTGGGACAGCTTCTAGACATGGCTACGACCTTCAACCATGGCTCCCATCTACTACTATCCGATGAGGTTCCCAAAGAGATCCGGGAAGAGGGCTGAAGATGGAAAGGCCCCCAAGGTGAAGAGGAGGGACATCACCATCAGCGCTGCATCCCCAGGAGCCTTCAACTAGCACCCATCCACGCTCTTCCCGAGCAAGCAAAGGGGCTAAATACAAACAGCTGGTATCTGAAGGTCTCCTGGATGCCCTGATGTCCAAAGAGCCCAAAAAAAAGGCAGCGAAGACCAAGCCTCAAGGAACCAAAAGACCCAGGCCGAATCCGAATGAGGTAAGTGACATCAGGTGCGTATGGCTTTTATTATATTTAATGCCCATTCCTGACACCTGCCCCGAATTGATCGCTGGCTAAAAAAAAACATTCTAAAATGTCTTTTTATTTACACAAAGCCACGGTCACTGCAGTTCCCAAGGGTTCCCCCTCTACTATTTACATCCAGTGGGGTCCTTGATGGATTGCT